CCGCTCACTGGCTGGGCGAGGCGCGGGAGCAGCGCCGAGGGTTGCGATCCCGTTGCCGGTCACCGGTCTGGTGCACGGGCAACACTGAGGGTTGCGATCCGTTGCCGGACACGGAAAAAGACAAAAGACAAAAAAAAAAAAAAAAGAAAACATCTGACCAGTTTTTTCCTAAGCGTGGACACAAAGCCCCTGGGCTGTTGCGGGCAGACTGCTCACATTCATTATTAACACATGACTTTGACAATTCCTCTCCCCATGTCCACCTATCATGGATCTTAAAGGCTTTCTAGCAGGATAATCTTGCCTTATAGTTTTCTTTTTTGTTTTGTTTTATTTGCAAAACCTCTCTCAGCTCAGCTTATCATAATCAACTCTGTGCCCACCCAAAGCTTTTCTATCACATCATACTCATTCGGCATTTAAAGGGACACTGACACACACAGCCACAACCTATGCTGCAACAGTCTCTGTTCTGAAAGGGAGTACATTTTTTTGTCTCCAGAATACTGTGGTAGATTCAAAATATCAGTCAAGGACTATTAGGATAAAAGTAAGACAGGTTGTGACTTCACTTTTATTCTTCATCTACCCCCATCCAAAAGCGAGATCATAGCTCTTTTCACTATTTAGATTTTTCACTCACTCAGTCACATAGCTTGCCCATAATTACAAAGTAGAACTAAATTCCATCTACCTGGCTTACACAGTACACATTTTGTATCCTTTTCATATAGGTAGTTCTTTCCCATTTCAAATACTAAATGTATTCCTCATTTCTTTATTCATTATTTCCACTCATAACACTCTCAAACGAAGGTGATTTCGTGTTAGTGTTTACCTGATAGTGTTGTTTTAATCCAAAATGTAACCTGAATATTTCATTTACAAGTGAGCAGTCTCCACTAAGGTTAGCAGCTCGAACCTATTACAAAGACAGTAAGCAAATGAAAAAAAAATAAATAAATGTTCATGCTTTATGTCTTTATGATATCAATCAATTTTAAGAAACTGGAAAAAATATAAAATTAGTATGTTTTTCTGAGAACAGAATATTCATTAGACTTTTTAAAGAATTTTTTAAACTCTATTGA